CACCAGCGACAGCTCGCCGCTGTTTGCCGCCTGTCTGGCCAGCGACGCCGACACGGTGCGGCTGCTGCTGGACAAGGGCGCCGCCGTCAACGACGTGTGCAACGGCGTGTGGACGCCGCTGCACGCCGCCTACCAGAGCGCCGCCGTGACGCGCCTGTTGCTCGAGGCCCTTGGACCTGGATCCCGATCCGGCAGAGCGCACTGTGCTGGAGATCCTGCAGTGCCTCGTGTCCGATGGCAACATGCACGTCAACGCCACCGGCGGGCCCTACGGGTCGGCCCTTGCCGCCGCTAGCTACCACGGCACCATTCCAGTCTTGCAATTCCTGCTCCGTCTCGGCGCAACCACAGACACGTGTGACCAGGCCGGCCGCTACCCCATTCACTTTGCCGCCGTCGGTTCCACTACGGCCAACTTTGCCGCCCTGCGTGACGCCAACGCCAATCTCTACGCACGTGACAACGCTGGCCGCACGCTTGTGCACTTCGCCATCGTCAGTGGGAACATGGACCTGCTCCTCTGTGTGCTGCAGGCCACCACCGGCCTGCTCCACCAACCCGATGCCGACGGCTGGACTCCGCTACACTACGCCGCCACCTTCCACAACCTCTCCAACCTCTCCCATCAGGACACGCGCGAGCAGCGCAAGCATGAATTCGTCGCCTTCCTCATCGACCAGGGCGCCGACATCTGCGCCCTCACCCTTGGGCCGGATGGCAAGCACTTGTCGCCGCTCAAGCTGGCCAACTACCATGGTGCCAAGCAAGAGACCTTGCGCCTATTGACGCCCCAAGACAACGTCAAAGTCGACGCCACGCCATGGCACCAAATATCTCACCAGTCAAAAAAGGCCTATGTATGGCCTTATCGTTACTGTGATGGTTGTCTCTACGTAAGTCTAGCTCTTCTCTTCTTCTTTTCCTCCGCTTCTTCTGCTCACCTGGCCAATTTCTTCTTTTTTTTTCCACCAAAGATGCTAATACCCTAGTCATAGAAAGTCAGCGGCTTCCGCTACAAGTGCAAAGATTGCTGGGATTTCGATTTTTTGCTACAAGTGCTATGCCAACAGACATGTGCTGCATCCACATCATGAATGGGATACCATGGGCCAGGAGTTTGAAGACGACCTAGATGCTCAGCTCGACCCCGCTAATCAAGACTTGAACAGCGATGACGACGACACGGACTCGGATAGTGATGATAGCTCTAGTGAGCACTCCACTACATAGAGAAGAAAAAACACAAACAAAGTAATGGAATAATAAATACCCCTTAGTTACAATCCCTTTGCCTTTCCAAGTACCTCGAGTGCACCATTATAAACACTCCAGTAGTTTTTGCACACGGTATTCATGGTCGCTGTCATATTGTAACAAGGTAAAGACTAGTATACAGAGAGCACAGTCTTGAATCGCCAAACGGTTGATGGCTCCTCTAAGTCTTCCAAAGTGACACAATACATTGATTCGAGATTTTTCTACTCAAAAATTGAGCATACAAAAAGTGTGCTACATGTGCACGATAGTAATGTACGACAGCTAAACACCCAAGTAGCTAGATGCCTTTTAGAGGGATCCATGCACAACGGGACTCCAGGTCATGTTGAGACTTGATGCATACACTGCTTTGACAAGTCTCCTTTCACTCACCCATGTCGCCAACGAAAACACGCACCTCGGATCCTAACCATACTGCCCAACCCAGATCTACTAAGACTATTATATGAGCTGACCTATGCATAGGACACGCTTCACCCAGTACTGAAAGATTTACAAAACCTTTGGGCTCAGCAAGTCTAATTCCTCTCGTCTTCTCTTCGCCTGAATTTTATTCGCTGGATTGGCAATGAAATGCTGCTCATACTCGATCACGGGTTGTCGACTTGTTCCTGGCTCATAGCGGAAATCATACTTCAGAATATAGAAGGCTATCAAAACCTTCAGCTGGTCTGAGACGAAGAATCGACCTATGTATAATCAATTAGAACTCACGTGCGTTCCAAAAAAAAGTATCACCATGTGAGTCCTATATCTACGTACCTGGACATGCATGTTGACCATGACCGAACTGGAGGTGCTCCGCCGACGTTGTGACGAAATGCAGCCCGCCTTCTTTGCCAGTTTGTTCACGTTGACGATAGAATCTGTAAACATCAAAACTCTCGGGATTAGAAAATGCGCTTGCGCCTCTGGTGTGGTCATCGGAGATTAGGATGAGGCCTCCAGCGGGGAGAGTGGTTCCGTCAGAGAGTGTCATGGTTTTGGAGACATAGCGTGTCATGGGCGCTATCGACACCATTTAGTAGAGAACATCTTTCCGTATGTTTTATCGCATGGATTGTGTATACGTACCCGAAGCTAACGGGTGAACACGTAGCACTTCTCGAAGAAATGAGTCCATCAGTCTGAGCTTCTGCAGCGCCGACCTCGTCCACCCGTCTTCTGTCAAGACCTCAATGAGCTCACCGCGCAACGGCTGTAGTATTTCTGGTGTGTCACAAATTTGTAGTAGGCAACGAGTTATTACCTCGGTTGTGGTGTTCATCGCAGCGAGACTGAGCAAAAGCTGGCCGCCCGTGAAATCCAATGGCCTACCTTTGGCTACATCGAGCATCCAGGCGAAGCAATTGCTAGAAGCATTCTCCTTTGACTTCTCTACCTTATTACCGCCCTCTTTTCGTTGGTTTATTATCTTTTGAGCTGCTGGCTCCAGGAGTTTTCGAGCGTCCTGAACCTGCTTTCGCAATTGTCGACAAGGCGGAAGGATCTGATACATGAACGCCCGAATGAAGGGCGGGAAAAAGTTTAGCACAACACCATTTCCAAATATACGTATCGTATACTCTTTGGATATCGCAAGCCAGTTGTCGTCTCTAGCGAGTCGCTCTCCAACAAAGACATGTCCCGACACGCGGGCGGTGATGTCTATCGAAATATCCTTCATGTCGAAGCTCTCCCAGTCGCTTTTCTCCCCCAGCGTATGTTCGACCGCACGCGAGGTCTCGTGCACAAGAAGCCCGGTCAAAAGCCCTAAACTCGGCGTGAGTTTGGCATTGATGACATCCAGCATCAACCTATCATCTCGCAGGCCCTCTCGCATGCCTTCAAAGCCCGCGTACTGCGTGGGAAATTCTTTCTTCTGGCCCTTGGAAAGACTGAGGCCAGGGTGGTTACGCAATTCGTGGGCGAAGCGATTGGGCACAACAATTTTGAAGCCTGCTCCCGAATGCACTTGGAAGCAGCCCGTCGTCATGCGCCGCCCTTCTTGCATGAGAGAGTTGCCATAGCGCAAAAATTCAGGTGGCTTCAATTGTCGCGGAAGACATTTCCACACGCCTTTTTCGAGCGAGGCAATGGGTATGCCTGGGAACGGCTGCTGCCCAGATTTGGATAAAACGCAATATAGGACGATAACGGTAATGGCGATGCCAATGGCTGGGGTAAGTTGTAGCTGATAGGCGGCAAGGAATGATTCTAATGCCATTATCTCGAGTGAGGTGCATTCAATACGCAATAGTTTCTGAACTGTAGGAAGTTGTAGGATAATTTTAATGCCTTAGCTATGCATGATTCCTGGGGCCCCTTGTTCCGCCGTTTCAAGTCCGTAATATCAATTCGTTTATAAGGGGTGAGCTCACCATAGACTAATGCAAGAGCTAGGGTTGGCAATGATACCGGTGACTCGTTAGTTCCATCCGTGGATAAGCACCGTGGAATCACCGTACTCAAATAACACTGGTGCAATTTTTAACTGTCCCATGTCGGTGTTCGTAGAATCTTTTCCAATAATCAGAGAGCCCTGACTAGTAGGGGTCTTAACCACTATGACACAAGGAAGAGGCAGAGTAACGCCTTCGGAACCCGTAATCTTCATGCTAGCGTCACGGTGTGGAAATAGACTAACGTCTTCGGAGTCCGTAATTCAAGTGTTAGCGTCATGGTGTGACTATATGCCTGTCATAACCGGCCCGAATCGTACTACACAGTTACTACTACAGCGAAATTCTTCACTTCCTCCAATTTCTACTCCCGCGTAGAGTACTTCGCGTGACATGCTACGATGATTGTGATTAGGGTTGCAAGGCCCCTCTTCTTGCAAGGCCGTCAACCTTTCTACCGCTCGTCAAACGCTTTACCTCCAACGAAAGCAAGTTACTCAAGCACAAAAATCAACAGACTCTGGAGATCAAAGGGTGAATTCTCCGCCCGAGTACCAACAGACCAAGTCATCCCATTCCATGCACTAGATGATGGCTATGTCAACCGCAATGTCGTCATGGAGGCTAGTTATCGTTTCGATGATGTGCTCGACGTCGATCGACTCCGATTGGCCTTGCGCCGTCTGATGCAGCGAGACGGTTGGAGAAAGCTCGGCGCCAGGATCCGCCAGAATGCAAGTTCTCAAAGCGGGATTACTTCTACTACATTGTGGTTTGTTGATCGTATCTAGAAACAAAAAAAGCTTGAATACCATATCCCGTGTGAATATGATGACAAACGACCCCCATTCTTATGGTTGCATGAAACGTTCGAGCAGAGCATAGCTGAACATCCCAAGGCTTCACAGCTTCCAAGGGCCAGTCACACGCCACAGATTCATGAGGATCCGCATCTTATGCAGTCGTTTTTGCACCATTCTGGTCGTCCAAAAAAGCTGGCAGATTGGCTTAACAGCGATTGTCCCCCATTGTCGTTCAAAGTACGTTTCTGCGCGATACCCCATCCTTCATACCAGGCTTGCATGGATTCTAAACAGTTTGCTGTCTAGATTCTATCCTTCCAAGATGCTACTATCCTTTCTTTCAGCTGGCCGCATTGTGTTTTTGATGGTGTAGGAAGAGCGGCATTCGTGCATGCATGGCTTGCTGAACTGAATGGCCTCGCGATTCCAGAGTTCGTCGGCTTCGATCACGATCCTATGAGTCCGTTGATCGGCGAAGTTCCTGGAGATCGATATGTCCTGAGATCTCAACTGCTCGCTGGCTCTCGACTTTTTTTCTTTGTGCTTAGGACCATATTCGACCTTATACTGCAGCCAAAGTCTGAGCCTCGAATTCTTCAAATCCCAGATCGATTTTTGCAGAAACTGAGGCAAGAAGCTCTTGAAGACTTGAGTAATGAGTACAAAGGAGACGACGTTGTATTTGTGAGCAATGGGGATGTTCTGTTAGCCTGGTGGGCACGCGTAGTGCTGTCCTCACAAAACCTGGCTGTTTCTCGCCCTGTCGCAATCGGGACCGCTCTGAATCTAAGAAAAGCATTAGAAAGGGACCTTCCAAGCGGTGATTTTATAGGGAATGCCGTCAGTACCGCCTTCACATTGCTGACAGTTCACGAACTCGCCACATTACCGCTGGGCAGTATTGCGCTTCGAATACGGCGAGCTATCCAACAGCAGCGGACTACTGAGCAAGTGAAAGCGCAGTTGACTTTGATGGACTCCTATGGCCGCCAGCCCCTTGCAGGGCCGTGGAATATGTTGCCGCTAGTTCTTTCTCAATCGTGAGTTTTTACCAACCTCAACTTCTTTCTGGGCACAACTAAGACCTGGTGTTACAGGAATAGTCTTGGTTTCTTCGATCTCGACTTTTCCCACGCTGTTGTTCGACAAGGTCTTCCCAATGAGAGAAGGAGGAATGCGGTGGGAAGACCGTCGTACATCCACCTGACTCATCATCTGAACAGTATAGTAAGTTAGTCAACCGGAAAATGTTGCTTCTCGGCGCTGATCATTCATAATAGCCTGGAAGAAATTCAGGAAGTGTCCTGGGCAAAGATGCAGCCGGAAACTGGTGGATCTATTTCGACCTTCCTGTTACAGCTTGGAAGGGCGTGTACCAGAAGCTAAGAGCACTAGAGAGTTAGTATACGAGAACAGCCATACGTTGGGCAGCCCTGCAAACCCAAATTGTTTCTCTGCACAATTGAGTCCTAATAAATTGATATAAATAATAGAATTCGGTCAAAACCCCCACCACACACACCAACTTCGAGTCTTTCAGAATAGGTGTAATTTAAGTCAAATATATACAAATCTATCCTAAGAAATTAATTATAACTACTTTTAAAACGTGCACTCTACGCGCTATAGAGCTAAAGGTAGAAAAAGTAGAGTAATTTAAATATATCTTACTACTAATAAAATACATATAGACTATCTAGATTACTAATCTAAAATACTACCTAATAGCGACACTATTAAGGTATACTTAATAAGAGGAAGGTAGGGAATACTAGGGCTAGATACCTAAATCTAGAATAAGATAGAGATAGAAATCTCCTAACTAGCTATCTCTACTAATATCCTAATAATACTTAGCGTTTTTAAAATACTAATTCTACTATCTAATAAAAGATAAGCTAACTTTTTACTTTTTATAGGCTTAATACTTAGAGGCCTATTTATCTCTATCTAGAATAGAATACTAAAAGCGTCCTTAGTATAAGAAGCTTTTAAAATTATAAGGAATTTAGTAGTCTAAGTAGCTAATCTAGCTAAGAATAATCTAATCTAGTAGACTAGCCTACTAGACTTAGTAAAAGTTTTTAGAGACTATACTAAAAATAGTAGAATAAATAAGAAAAACTCTATAATTCTAAGAGACTAGATCTTCTCTCTCTCTAACGTCTTAAAGGAGCTAAGAGAGAAGATTAGGCGCCTAGATAAGCCTATAATAACTACTAACGTGTATCACCAGTGTGCGCCCCACCCCAGTGTGCGCCCCACGAAATCCTAGTACCTCACCTTCGTAAT